AAAATCTTCCATTCCTGTCACTGTTTGTGAACTGTAACAAATCTCTTAGGGTTTATAAACTCTTCTCCTAGTCAGGGGTCGGCCCATCAGCTGTTTTGTAAATAAAATTTGTTGGAGCCCAGCCCCACACATTCATTTACTTATTGCCTGTGGGGATTTTGGCACTTAGGTGGTGGTTGAATAATTGTACCAGGACCATAGAGACTAAAATACTTACTGTCTGCCCCTTTACTGAAAAAAAGTTTGCTAACCCCTGCTCATGACAATATGTTTTGAGAGAGAGAGGGAGAGATTGTATCTGTACCTGTAAATCTACAAATTGGGATATACTAACAGGTGTTCTAGTAAAATGTAGTTGCTACAGGGAACGTTTACCTGGCCACCTGAGATGATGTGGCTATGATTACTCGCTAATCTTTTTGTCCTAAACTCTTCCACAGGAAAAGTGCCCCCCTGAGTAAGGTTTTCACACCAGTCCCTGAACTCTCCCACTTTTCCCCTCGTCTGTACTCAGTCTCCATGTGTGGACCTCCTGTGAACCCTCTCCTGTTGCCGTCAGGGCTCCGTAAATCTGTCTGCACTGTTTCACTTTCCAAGTGTTGTAGCACGAGGCTCACCTCCCTCGCCATACAGAGTTCCTGCTGCTGGATCTCATGTACCGTGGTCTCGCAGTGCACCCTCAGGCTGCATTTGCCCTTTCTGAGCTCGACTCTCTCATGGTGCCTGTGCTTAAAAACAGGTATTAGGCCTCACAGTCCTATAATGAACCTTCTCAGCTGCTCAGCCACAGGTCAGAGTCACTATCAGGATGTCTCCCAACTATTCTGTCTGTAGTTGCATTGGCTGTGCTGACCAGGTGCCCATTTATACCTCATGGCCATTACTAGTCTTATCATGAGTTTATGGTCTAGTCTCTCACTGGCTGACTTGACCGTCTCATTTTTAATCTGCTGTTATCTAGAAGGGTGCTCAGTGTTCTGACCCCTTGTCAGGACGTGGAGGAAATGGTTTCTAGGATAGCATCTTTTTCCCTGAAAACAATAGATATGCTTTCTCTGTGTTCCATTCTATTTCCACTTTTATAGCATTCCCTATTTTTCTGTCTAGCTGACAGAATTTTAATTCCTACATACATCAAAGGCCATATGCTTTCTAACCCCAGAACACATTTTAAATCTTTTAATTTATAGTCCTTCCTCCATGTATGAAACGTACATTCTCTCTCTCATTCTCCCCCTCTCTCTTTCTCCCCCCCTTCTCTTTCCTTCCCTCCTTCCCACCCTTCTCTAGTTTCTAAACTCAAGATCAGAGTATCTGGTCTCAAATCTAACACTATTGTATTTCTGACATAATATTAGACAAATCAATTCATCGTTTTCAATAGCTGTAAGATTAAACCTAAGCTCTCTACCCTGCCAAATACATGTTTTCTTTTTTGTGAGGCTTCAATGAGGAAACATTCATTTGTTTAGTATTTATTCAGCCTTTTTAATGCAAAATCTTCTTTATCAGGTCATGTTTATAGATTTGGGGATATAGTTATGAAGAAGACAGATAGGGTCTGTCCCTACCCTCACTGCACTGACATTAGGGCTACGAAGACAGATATTAGATGAGGAAGCAAAGTGAGTGTCAGGTTTTGTGGTAGGGGCTTTGAAGAAAATGATGGAGCATGACAGGAAAGGCGAGACTTAGGCTGCAGGGAAAAGCCTCTCTGAGGATGCCATATTGAGAAAGTGATACTCAAGGGCCTAATATCTGACAGCGAGCCCGTCATACACTGAACCACGAAAGTACTCTATCAGCTCAAGCTGCAAGGTTTCACCTCAGCGAGTGGTACCCATGCTGATCCCCTGGGCAGTGGGGAAGTTAGAAAGCAACAACAGGTTTTCCCTTTCTGGAGCTATAACTTTACAGTGATCTCTGTACTTTCTTATAAACCTCCAGTTTCGCGTCCAGATTCTGTCTTTCCTCCTCTTCTGTTTCTGGCTTGGGCTGGCCTAACCGAAGTACCTGTCCGTGACGCCGTCTTGCTCAGGCCTGCTCCCAGTCCTCCCTGCCACCAGTGATGTTTTTCTTCCCACTCACTCCAAAACTCCTGCGACTTATTTCCCTTTCTAATAACCCTATACTTCTGAAACTTCTCAAAGTTTTCCAGGTTGCCTCATTTTTGGTAAAACTACCTATCTCCATAATATAAGCAACTTCTGGTATCCACTTCCAGAAAGAGGGATTATTTTCAGATTGAGCTGACTGGAACTGGCTGGCACATAGTGAGTTCTCAGTAAATATTTATTGAATAATGAATGAAAGTAGATGAGCTGATTCTCCTAATCTTACTCAAACTACCTAGAGGATTATTGTGGGGGTTTTTTCTTAATCATATGTATATTCTTTACTCACGTAAAATGCATATAAAAATCTTTATCTTTAGCTATATAGGATATCAAAATCTTACCCCTTATTTACAAGATATTTTAATTTTAAATCTACTCTCTCCATTTGCTGTTCAGGTGAAATTTTATCATTGATCCTAGAGATGCCTAGAGGCGTTGGCAATGTCTCTACGACTTGTAATGGTGTTCAGAACAGTGTGTAGCCACAGGGAACAGAATTTAGTGTGCAAATATATTTTTCCTAATGATAATAACAATTGCTGAGATTTTGATTGTTTGGGTCTTTATTTTTGGCATCCTAAATCATCAGATATACCCATTTAGGTTAAGCAGAAGCTTTCTAAGGAAAACCTTTGTGTTGAGGAATTTGTCATATTTTCAGTTAAGCAGCAACTAAAAGCTGTGTTTCTTTTAAAGAAATTTTCCAAATATGTCTAGAGTATGGTTTTTCACTCTGTGTGGTATTATTATTCATCAATGGCAATAAAAATTTACTCTCACCTGGCTGGCGTAGCTCAGTGGATTGAGCGCGGGCCTGCGAACCAGAGTATCGCGGTTCGATTCCCAGTCAGGGCACATGCCTGGGTTGCAGGCCAGTTCCCAGCAGGGGACTCACGAGAGGCAACCACACATTGATGTTTCTCTCCCACTCTTTCTCCTTCCCTTCCCCTCTCTCTAAAAATAAATTAAAATAAAATAAAATAAATAAAAATTTACTCTCAGATTATTAGTGGAATATTTATTTTTATAAATGTGGAGGTATGTTTAGAATTATCACTGGCAACTTGTTTCCAGAGCCGGATCTTAATTGTTTTTATTTAAAAGAAACAAAAATCTTCTTGAGTTACATCGTTAGAAATAACTTATAAATGATCCCTTAGCTTTAGAAATGCTCTGTTTGTAGTTCTGCAATATTTAAATAATACTAAAAATAAAGAGTCTCATTGATTTTTTTTGTTATTTGTATTATATTCTTTAATTCAAGAAATGTTATGTAATTTGAACTCTGAATTTTTTATTTTGACCCATATGATGAGGACCAACTTTAAAACGACAGTTCAGGGTTCCTGATTTCATAATTTGTCTCCCTAAGGGATGCACCTATAAAGCAATGGGACGGTCTTCCAAACATACTAGGAGTTTTGTGTCAGGGCGGCCCTCGTCCCCTTCAAAGCAGTCACCTAGGAAGTCCACACATTTGTTCTGGTGATGCTGTTATGGCTTCACATGTTGTGGAATGCCTCTTCTTAAACTGCCTCTGAACTACTAAGAAATAATAAAGGGTATAATGACATTATTTTGAATGCCCTAAATTGTGACATGAATTTGATCTTGGTGAGTCGTCAGAAATCATCTGAGGACCAACTACAGTGAATAAAATTTGGAGTGTCATTTGGAGTCACAATTGATATAGGATAATAAGGTGGGCTTTCTTGAATAACATGGTAACTGACTCCTGAAATTGTCAAAGAGGAATTCCAGAACCTTGGACCTTGGGATAAATGTATCAGCTCCCAAGGTAGCTACTATGAAGAACAGTACATGTTTAGATTTTTTTAAATGTGTATGTTTGCAAAATAAGATCAGTTTTATTACTTTATAGACATACCTTGTAGATGAAAAAAATACTCCTATCATGGAACTCTTTATAAGCAAACTTCTGAATGTAAGTAGAATTTCTGTCTCACCTTTTTAAGTCTCTTGAGAAATCTGAATTTCTAATAATGACTTATTCTGATCTTCAGCTTAAAAAAATGTAATGTTTGCCATTTAAAAAGTGGATGAGTTTAGGTTTCACTTCACCATTTTCTTATTTATTTTGTTATCTCTGCTCTTCAATTTTTTAATTTAGTGTACTCATCTATGTAAACCTTGAGACTCACAATGTATTTTCTCATTTTAAAATTATCATCAACTTCTTGAACCAAGGTAGAAGATCAAGTCTAGGCTGAAGGTTATTAATTGTTTCATATTATTTTAAGCTTTTTTTTTGGCATTAGTAATGACCAGATGGTTTCCTTTTTCAAAGTGGAACCCCATCATCCTATTAAATAAGAACATCAAATTACACATAGAAAAGTATTTTTATAAAAGTAAATACTCTCAACTTTGGGGTTCCTATTATGTTTTTCACTTCAACTAATAAAGGTGTAAAAAACAGAATTCTGCCAAACAGCGGGACCATGTTTTCTAGTGTAGACTGCAGGTGGAAGCACGGACTGGGCATGGGGGTTGAGCTGACGGTCCCGCTTCGTCGGCGCTTTCACAGTTACTCCACCACCTCCCGTTCGTCCCGGCTGCCAGGCCCTGTTTCCGCACTGCCAAGTGGAAATGTTAAAAGTAAAATGGAACGTGGAAGGCAGAGAAAATTGTTACCCTTTGGCAAAGTGGCTAAGACAGCTAAATTGTGAAACAATTTAAACTGTTCAAATTTGGCAAGTTTGATTGAAAAATTACATGACCTGTGTAGTTAGAGAGCAAAAATGGTCACTAGTTCATAGTTTTAAAAAGTCATAGTGTGGTGTCTTTTTTTTACCACAGACTGAGAATATTATTTTATTCTGCCTGGCAATAACTTTTGCACAAATGACTGTTGTTTTGCAGTTTGGTGATTTAAATGCCGTGTCTCCTGGAAATCTGGATAAAGGTAAGAATTAAAAATAATATACATTGTCAAGGTCTTTCTTTAACTAGGAAATTCTCATAGGAGACAATGAGACGTATGTTTGTGGCCCTATTATGCTGTGAAAATGGCATACAGTCCTAGATGAATATCACCGTGTCTTTGGGATGCTTCACTAATTCTCCATTTCTATGCTTTATATGAGGTGCCTTACATGCAAAAATTAAATTTAAATGCTGTTAGAAGCTCATTTTGACTTTTTGCCTGAAATTCATTGTAAGTGACAAATTATTTCTGACTATCTCCAGAGTCCTAGAGAAAAGTGATAAAATTGGTCAAAATATTTTTATTCAAGGCCTACCTGGCAAGAAAAAGATTCCTCAGCCTTCCCGTCACCACTTCACACTTTTCAGTGGAAAAATAACTCAAAAAGAGCAATGATGTTTACTGTAAAAGCAAGATCAGTAGCAGTATAGATGAAAAAGATAACATATGTCTGTAAATTTTAAATACTTCGTTTACACTATTACAGTTGTCCCTGTGTTCTATTAAATTTTACCACCAGCATCGCCACTCTGGTGTGACAATAGGATATAGATTCCTGAGGAAGCTTTTGCTCTACACAACCACAGAGTAAAAGGAACAGGGTTTAGGGGAAAATAAGGTTGGAGCAGAGCAAATACAAGCAAAAAAATTGCTATAAAAAATGCCAGCCTAGTTTTTATAAAAATGTAAAATTTCTGGTAAACAAACACTGTAGAAAATGTAGGCCTCTCTTCAAAAACAAACAAAAAAAGGTTTTAAGCAATTGAGTTTTATAGTCAGGGACCGTATGCACAAAGACTGGTGAGAACAACACAGTCAGCCCTTCCAGGACACAGCCAGAGCCAATGGGCACCTGAGGCGAAGGGAAGGACTTGGGGAATCTGCACATGAGTGCAGTGCTGTTTTCTGGAGCGTCCTGTACAGGGTATTGGGTCCAGCGTCTGTGCCTCCTTGGTGGTAGAAAACATTAATGAGCCAGGGAACGTCACCTGTGAACCCACAGCACTGTGGTGTTGAACTCCTCTCGGTCCGTACCAGTAGTGGATGCATTCATTCCTGATAGAGTGACCTACGTAGTAGCAGAGCAGGAAAAGCAGAAAATGATAGCCCAGATGGTATTGTTGCTGCAAGTGCATACTCTATATGAGTAACCAGATAACCCTCAGAAAAGTATGTCAGTTTTGAGATGATGGTTATGTGTCATTTTAGTGCGAGAATGGTGGCAGTTGAAACCCATGTCCAACGTCAGGCAACCCTGATGGCGCATTGACCCCAAAGCCTCATAACCCAAATTTGGGGTGTTGTCCCTGGATGCCCAGAGGTGCAGTAGGAATGTTGCTATGTGGCCAATCACTGCATGGCAGCCAGTCTTCTTTGTAAAGTGCTGAGCCAAAACAAAGTCTTCAGTACACTCCAGCAGCACCGAATTTTAATTTTTGTACACCAACTGTTGATAATCACAAGCAGGTTGTCCAGAAATGTCTTTGAGTCTTTATAGGTCCACAAAACATCTGCAGAATTGTTGGCCCTCGGGAACTGGACAAAGGGCTAGCTTTTGTGGACTGCTCTGTAGCCTACCCAGTGGCATTGTGTCGCCCCCATGTGGACCTACACAGACATGGCCTGGGACACTGGCATTTGTTCAGCCCACCCTGCCATTGCCACCCTTCCCACCTGCAGTGGGCAGAGGAAAGGGCTTTCCTCACATTCTCTTCACTGGCCCACCATCTTGAAATGATTTTTTTCCTTTCAGTGCTGTTTTTTACTTTGTTTTGTTTTGCTTATTACTATTATTATTTTGACACTGTTTCTCGGGCACAGGGAAGTAGTTAGAGAAAGAGCTGAGAAGCAACAGGATTTACCTCACATTCTTGGTGTGGCCCTGCCTGTCCCATCCACACCGGGCCCTGAGGCTGCTAGAGTGACACAGCCAAAGGGTGTGATCAGAGCCTATGGCTGGAATGTGAAAACCTCAAGACTTTTGGTGGACTCTTTCTACAAAATGGGAATGTTAATGTTTTTTTCAATAATAAAAGTAATGATTGCTTTGTATAAAAACTTCAAGTAATCCAGAGAACTGGAAACTGTAGAAAGTGAAGCTTCATAGTCACAACTCTTAAGAGACCGCCAGCATTAAGAATTTTGTGTGAAGATCCTTTTTTTGTTTATGTGTATACACAAATGCATTAACAAGAGAAAGTATCACACAGATGTTTCAATTACATCTTCTTCATGAAGTAAGTGTCTGACAGTCTGTCCTCCCTGCAGCCCACCAGCCCTTCCAGTGTGCGTGTTCTAACAAATCTGATACTATCAAGTCCATTTTCCATATAAAATATATGGACAAGATATCTTTTGCCTCATCTAAGAGTTCTTCTGTGTTTATCACTTAATGATGCTCTACAGACATCATTTATAGTCACTGCATCTGAACTCTACCTTTTAATTACATATACCATTTCTCAGGAGATTTTGCTCCTGGCAACTGCATGTGGTACAACTGTACGTGGAAGTCCCTGTTACTCCTAACCAGTGTTTTCTGGAACCATCTTTGCCCCAGTTGATAATAAGAAAAGTCAAGGGGCGCATTACTATTAAGAGCTGCCCTGGCAGGGACTTCTGTGGTAGGTGTGGCCCAGGCGGTAAAACTAGACTCAACCGTAGAAAGAGTCCAACTTTGTGTGACTGAAGAGCTACTCGTACATGATGTGCCGTAGGAGAGAATGTCATGGAGATTCAATTGTGCTTCTACAAGTCACTGTAAGTCAGAGCATAACAATAAGTATAGGTATACGAGCATTTTAACTATAGATGAGGTATTTGATGTGCTTATACATTTGTCTTTTTTGGTAAACAGTAAGTAAAACATGTTGAAAGTGAAGTAGAAAGATTTTTAAGGCAAAGATGTATTTTTCACTGTTTAAAAATGATCACTCATGAAGAGGTGTTCTCTATACTCTTCTGAAGAGAATCTTACACAATAGCAAAGCTGTGTGAGCAGTTCTCTCTACTTTTGAATAGTAACTGTGCGGCTGGAAAAAATTAAATGGAATTTTTTTATAATTATGTTTTAGTTAATATAAAATGTATTAAAATTTAGAGGTAACAGTTACTATATTTAATACATTTAATTTCCAGAAATGAATACCAGCTATTAACAGTGAGTATCAGTGTTGCCAGGAATGGAAATTCATTGTGCATTTTTAATCTGATACTACTGCCTCTGTCTTTATCATTTTTTATAATAAAAATTAAAGGCCTATTTAACATTGTGATCTAACACATTCGTGTGCACCAAAAACTCTTTATAGTAACCCATGCTTATACATGATATCATATCATTATAGGTCTCACCTGTTGAAGCATATCTAAAGCATGTGTTGATTGCCATTTTTCAATTTGCCGTTTGGTATTGGTCTTGGTATCATTTGTTTGTGCAGATGAAGGCAGTGAAGTGGAAAGTGAAATGGATGAAGAACTAGATGACTCTTCAGAACCTCAAGCCAAAAGAGAGAAAACTGAGCTGAACCAGGCGTTTCCAGTGGGCTGCCTGCAGCCTGTCCTCGAGAGCAGTGTGCAGCCGAGCCTCCTGAGTCCAATGCACAGCGAGCACATCGTCACAAGCACTCAGACTATCCGGCAGTGCAGCGCTACAGGGAACACCTACACTGCGGTCTAAGGAATATTAAAGTGTGTTTTTCCAGCTAACTTTAACCCTGTTGATATTGGGCTTAAGTTGAAAATTGAATAAGCCTGAAGGTCAACTGTTGTCAAATTCTGTCTGTGCTGAACATTACCTTTCTGGAGTTGTGAAATGGAATGGGTGTATGTATTTTGCCAGGTCTTTTTTTTTTTTTAATGTAAACAAATGATTTGCCTCTTAATAATAAGAGTTTTTTTTTTCTTAGTTTCTGGTGTCAAGAAGGATTTTTACAACACTTAATATTTTTGTTTTCTTATAATTAAAAATAATTTACATTTTTGTAGTTTAAAATATTTTATTGTTGATTGTTAGTCTTGGTGTATTTCATGTGTAAGTTTTTAATTAGATGCACTTCTGTGAAATATCAAAAGAAAGACTTTCTTTGATTTACACTGGAGGCATGCCCATTTGGCAGCAGATGCATCAAATTTGCTTTTGAAAGGTGCTTCTCATTGGACAGAACTGCAAAACACTATTTTGATAACGTTTTGGAGTATGGAGAAAGGATACAGAGCATTTTTATTATAGCGCTAGAGGGTTGGGAAGGTCATCTATTTTTTCTCTGAAGAAAAATTGAGCTGTGCATTTATCAGTTCAGAGTAAATGACAGAAATGCAAGAGATTATGCTAATATGTACATAATTTGTGTACATAATTATTAAATCATGTTAATGCAAGCTTCCGTTAAACATTGAATTTTAACTGCTATCTGCATACCAATTCCTCTGTGTAATGACTACTGATTCTGTATTTGGGACCACTGTACAGATGCATTCTGCTGTCGAGTGGGGCTGTTATAGTTAGATACTGAAACTGAAAAAAATGACTTGACTTTTTTTTTTAAGTGTATGCTACTTATGCTGAGCTGGACGTACAGGAAACCATTCCATTTGGATGACTTTCTTTTATTCCAGGTCTTTTTCCTAATAGTAGTTCAATATGCTGCTATTATAAAAGAAAATTTATAGAATGCAAGGAATGTAGCAACCTGCATATCATTTTTTCCTTCAAAAATATTTCCTGGTTTCTAAAGTATGTGGATTTAAATTTTAAACAGAACCTGAAGGCAGTGTAACTGGCACACCGTACTGTTGCTTATCTCCAATTCTGTAGGATTTGGGTAGGTGGCCGGATGGACCAGTGCCATCGAAGAATGTACATCAGGGATCATCGTACCTCGGCTATAACATGGTGCCTTAAAACAGAACTGAAGCTAAGGTTTAGTAAGGCTTATTTTGGTCATGTCAATTCTTCTTCAGTCAATCCACTTGACAAGTTGTGCCTGTCATTTTCAGATTTTCAAAGTAAGGACAGGTGACATGTTCTTCAAAGGAAATGGAGGGCAAATAAAGCAAAACAGACAAAAAATCATTTTCCCTCTTTGAGTGACCGTGAACCTATGTTTTGTTCTTAGAGCCGAATATTACTTGATTATATAATCAAATTGTTTAAGAATGTGGAATAGCAGGCTAGTTTTAATTACCAGCTTGTTACATAAAATCATATATATTTAGGTCATTCTTTTCTAGTTATGATTTAAGACAGTTAAAATAAGTAGGTACTTATCGAAGTGCATCTTTTCAGTCTAAATGTCTGTCTGTGTGTCGTGGTGTCTGTGCCCATGTGCACACGGGTGCCCCTGGGCAGGAGTCGGCCGCAGAGTCGGAAGGTGTGATCCTGGAGTGGATACGCCCCTCCCCATTTTAATTTACATGAAGAGCCAAGGTTCTTTTAAGCACTCAATTATTAAAAACAACAAAAAAAAGCAGGCACATCCATTAATTTAAATAGTTCTTAAAAAGCTAATCAAGAAGAATAAATACATAAAGCCAAAAAAAGGGAAAGCACAAAATAATTCACAGATTATCTAACGGGGCCTATATTAAACTCAAGATGTTTATCTTTCCTGTTTTACTGGGGTGGAGGGTGGGGTGGAAAGAAGAGGGTGAGCCAATCTGTAAAGTTAAAAATACCAAATGGCTTATTGGGTGATGTGCAGGCTTTTTCAGCTGCTGTTGCTCGATTGCCTTAGACCTACTCAGATAGCTAAGATCAACATGCTTCTTAGGTAAACTTTAAATGTTTTAGATGCAATTTTTTTAATTGATTCAAATTTTGTATTATACAACTCATATATTTGAAAGCCTTTACTAGCTCATCACTTTTATCTAAATATCTTTTCAATGATCATCCCCCTTTTTTCTCCCAAAAAGGCAATGAATTTGTACCATCACATGCACAAAACAAGGAAGCAAGACACCTTAAGCTGCAAAGACTGTGTACCTATTTTATGGTGCATTAGGAAATATTTACAGGTAAATTTAAATCAAAAAAATGAAAGAAACACTCTTCCTCTGACTCTCCTTTCTTAATTTTTCCACCTTCCTCACCCTGTCCACCACCCCAAGAACTATACTGTATCTGTATTGGACCAAATGTATTTACGATATCATTTTGTTTATTGAACAGTTTTTAATGTACTTATGATCATTGTTTCCTTTAATTTAATGTTGGATATATTTGTTAGAGGAATCTGATAGTGGAATATTAGATTAGTTAAAGTTAGGGATTGGGGATCCTCCAGGATTCAACATTTCTTTCAATTGTTCATGGTTTGGTCTAAAATTTGGACAGATTGGGAATTTATAAATATTACTACATTTCAACTCGACTAAAAATATTCTGATCTGCATTATGAATACAGTTAGAAACATTAATCTTTGTTATTAGTGCAGACAGTTCTGACCAGTAGACAAATAATTTCTGTGATCTGTGCTACTTCCTGTTATTTCTAGTCCACAATGACATGCGCACATTTACAATCACAAAGATCTCAACAGTTTTGATTGAACTTGAATTGTGAAATACATTAGAAAATGCAAACATAATTTATACATTTGAGCAAATTGAAGCCACTGCAATTAACTGCATTTATCAGACCTTTTAGTTCCATTTTTTCACTCATTGGAAACTGTGACTTTTCTAAGTAATATTAGACACTAATACTCTCAGCAGGTTTATTGACAAGTGACAAGGACACATGTTAAGAACTTCGGAATGTTTCTTGGCATTGTCATCAAACACTAGTCATGAAAAGTATCTACATAGACCAAGCGATGCACTTTCAGTGAGGAAAAATGTAAGGAAAGTGTGTTGGCTGTTTTTAAGTTACAGAAAAGGTTTTTTCACTTAATAGGATTGAGTATCATGAGTAGTTTGATCTTCACATATGCTTTGAGAATCATACCCAAAAGATTTGCATTCATAAAGCCAGTGAACAAGAGGGTGAAATGGGAGAACCATTGCCTTGGAACACAGGATCCAACTTAAACCATTTTTTTTTGGATAGTAAGTAGCTGGTCACTTTTTCAGGATTTTCTTCCAAACTATGTTTGGACTGACTGTATAAGTCTTACTGCCTTTTCAGAAATCTGCTTTCCTTTGTGTGCTTTTTCTTGTACTGTATAGCACGGTTCATGCACCTCTCTTTAGATGGTGTACTTTAAAAACAAAAGTAAAATTCAGAGAACGGTTTTAACACTGCATAAGTGAAATTAATAGTGTTCGACATTGACTGCCTTTGATTTGTAGTAGACAAGTGAAAATGAACACGTTCTTGTAGAATGCCGTTGAAGTCGTTCAGGAATGAATACGGTTTCATTACTGTAATCATGAACCTTTTTACATGGCTGCACTCTCTAGAAGTTCTAAATGTGATGCATTTTCGAATTTTAAAAATTCCTCAGATGATATATTTGAGATGTCTAAAATAATGCTGTGCTTGAAACATTAGTGTAAAAGAAAAAAAAATGTGTGTCACTGTGATGTTGGTCCTCCCCGTGTGGACACAGAAAGTGAAAACACTTTGGCAAGTCACCTTTGTGTACTTGAGGCAGTGGTTGTATACAGCAGATGGACCTTTGCTATAGCCTCCCCTCCCCCTCGTACTTGGTGAGGCAACAGTAGCTGTCAGAAAATCACACCAGCCCTTGGTATTGGTGTGAATTGCACCGGAACCTGGGGAGAGGTGGTCATGCAGTGCTATTGAAAACTGGGCTTGTCACTAGATCAGATCAACCTCCATGTACATGGTTAGAAGAAATCAATTAATGGAATCCTAGTATTTCTGCAAGTTTGATGATTTAAAAAAAAAAAAACTGGAATAGAAGCATTAATTCAGTGCTTAGTTCCAGTGTCAGAAGACCCCTTTGATGTAATGCCTTGTATTAACCCTTTGAGCATTGTAAGATAGACAGCGGGGGACAAAAGCCTTTCGGATCCTTTATTTAGACTTAGACTGGTAAAATATACTCTATATCCAAATGTCTAATTATGCTGTTTTTTTAAAGGGGGGGTAGGAAGAGAAAGTGTTTTCATGCTGAACACTTGCATTTTATATACAACTCTTAATTTTCTTCAAGAGGGCTTGATATATTTATTCCCAAATATTCACTGCCATCTAAGTAAGTGTACTGTTTACAGAAACAAAATCGACTTTTCTAGCATCACAGCACGACTCTAGGAAAGGAGGTCAGTGCATGGGCCTGTGGACCCGTGTCCCAGTCGGTCTCTGCACATGGGAAGTACCTAGATTGCCTTTACAAGGTATGAGAAAGGAAGGGTTACTTTTTTTTCCAAAATGCAACAAAACAAAACAAAAGATCTCATTTATTTAGCTTTAGAAAGTACAATTGTTAAGTGAAGCCTTAGGAAGAAATGAGTTTGAGCACCTAAAGAAAAGCTGAACTCTTTGGGGGCAGGTAATCTATCTGGAATTAGATCTCTCATAACATATTGTTTGGGAATTTCATACAGGGCATAATTTTATTTATGCTCCAAAAGTTTAATACTTTGTCAAAAAATTATATATAGATAGAATGGAGAGCAAAGCACTTGATCTTAAGCTCATCTGTCAGGAGATGCCCTAACTACTGCTTCTGGTGTCTGTAAATGCCAGTCTGCTCACACAGTTGCCGACTCTGTCCAAGGGGCGCTCTGCGTGCCCTGGACTCCTATGTCCCTGTGCGATGGAGCAGGAGAGCAGCGCCGTCTGCACCTGTGCTCGCGCTGCCCCAGCCAGGTGCACCCGAGAGCGTGACCTACTGCGATGTCTGGTGAAAGGACATCCGTACTCTAGTGCAAGTCTGCCGTAAACATGGCTTTCAGGCAGTTGAGGAGGTCAAACCATGCAAATTACTCGTGTGTTAACATGCAATACTCAAAGGGTTTTGATTTAACTCTTCTTTTGAATTCTTCATGATGATTTACTGTAAATGCTTCTCAGTTTGCATGCTCTGATCATTGCTGCTAGTGATTTTATGTGCCAGTAGACCTGAGTTTAGTTTACCAATTTTACTTAAATAGTAAAAGCCACTTACAAAGTGACTGCCTAGGATTCTTCCCTTTTGTTTGAAGTAATTGGTAATATGTTATTTTCAAAAATGTGTTTTGTCTCTTATTGGTTCTGATATTTGATTCTTTCTTTCCCTCTTTCCTTTGTTCTTTAAATAAATTACGATGTTGGGATTGGAAGCCCTGAGTAATGAAATCTTTGGTAAGAATTGTGTATGTAGCTCAATAATGAGGACAACAAATCATTGTTAGAGGAATTTTGATTCTGGGGAGGAAAGAGAAAATAAAAATTCCCATTGACTGTTGCTGACCAAGTAAATTGTTCCTTCAATGAATTAATAGTTTTGAACAAATGATTGCCTTGTTTAAACCTGCTAACCACAATTTTAAATAACCCAATAAAGGAGGTATTGAATTTTATTCGTTTAAAATGCATCTTTTGTACCAAAGCAAATTTTTTTCTCTACTCATCTCCATCATCAATTGGGACCTATGGTGGTGGCCAATGTGTTGGTTACAGAAACTTTAAGTGAGTGCCTTGAGAAAACTTGGAAATTTGTGCCTGGGGTGGTAAACTTTTAATTAGGTTAATTGTAGTGCTTACCAATCAGTAATTCTACTATCACTCAGGGCTTTCGTACCTTCTAGGTAAAACTTCTTTCATTGTGTTTTTTTTTTAAATACTGTATTTTTTTTGTGCCATCATTTAAATTTCACTTAGTAAGTGGCAGATGTCATTATTCAGTCCCACAAGCACAGAAACATAGTAACACTAGGAGATGTTTGAACATTTATTTCACAGTCGACTGAATATATTATGTAAATGAGGTAAGCAACTTTTGTAGAGAGTGTGTGTGTGAGATAATGTAATGTTCTTTTCCAGTTTTTGGACTACAGTTGAATAAACTTTTTAATTATTTAAAAACATCTTTACCGAATAACATGTGATGGTTTTTTTGTATAATGTATTTGATTTTGTAAATACGTATTTCCTGATGTGATTTTTGTGAGAAATGCTAAATCTTTTAGTATATCACGTCCTCTCAAAATTGGCAGGAGCTGAATAATAGTTTGTGGGCGATTTGTATTGTGTACTGTACAATAACTGGGGAACTTTTATAATTATAAAAATATATATTAACTTTTAGTGTGTTGTTTAAACAAATGACTGGAACATACTAAAGATATTAGTAGGATTTTTCTGAATATTTCAGACTTGAACTCAGGCTAGCTTTCTTGTGTTTTTCAAAACAAAATGGTGTCTTGTCTTTTAAAATCAATAAATTTGTTTCCTTGTTACAAATACATTTGAAATGGCTTGATTTTTCCCCCCTCAGATCGTTGCCAGGAAGTGAATAGTGCACTACCTCATGAGGGGATAGGCACTGTGTCGTTCACTAGCTTAGAAACAAAATTAAGTTGTTTTCCTTTTTTGTGTGTCAAATGAAATTGGCAATATTTACACATGAACAGCACAGAAAGAGAAAACAAAATTATAAGCTCAGCAGGATACAAATCTTACCCTCAAAGAAAATTAGTGATTTTGAGTGCTGTTTAATTTCAGAAGCTGTCATTTCTATTGTAAACCCAGATTTTTGGATGTTCATAATGTGTTTGTTTAATGTCACTTCACATTGATATTTGGCACCCAAGCTGCTTGCGTTTTAATGCACTTAAGAAGATTCTCTGCCCCGATGTTTTTCGTCTTTGAAATACATAGTTCCACAGAGGAAAATTCTCCATGTTTAGTGTCCATTTCTGAGTTTCGACAAATGACACAGTATATAAGCCCTCCTCCTAGAACATGGAATAGCCAGTTCATTTGGGTTTATTTTAAAGATAAAAATTCAAGACAGAAAATATCCTCAAAGGGAATATAGGCAGAATTGTAGCCTTTGCCATTTGTGAGATATTTGGAAATTTTTATACCCCAAAAAAGAGTTACTAGTTTCTAACCTGATCTTTATATTTGGTTTCTCCTGGAAATAGGAGGTATTTTAAATAGTTTATGATTAGTGTGTTTACTTATTGGTTACAATATTCTAACTATCGTGGATTCTTAATATTAGTTTCTTCTCCCTTAGAACTTGTACATTTTAAGACTTGAACTCAGCCTGGGAAATGTAGCTGCTTTTCATTAACTGATTCATTTCAATCCACCAACTATTTTTTCTTTGTTATAGTCTAAAGGTAAGTAATGCATGAAGAAACTTGTCTTTGGGCTAAGGCCCAGATTAAGTGTGTGTGTCACCATAATCAGTAGTGTGGCTGCCACATTGCTGAGGTTAATGTCCTTTACAATCAAGGGAAGGGAGCAGGAAAGCTCTCTGGTCTTACTTAGGTCTGCTGGAACATCTGGGCCAGGAGAAGGGGTCTGCTCACCCTGACACGGCTGGGTGGCCAGCAGAGTATTGGGGCTGAGCACCCCCAGACCTAGTAACTTCCCATGCTGATGAGACCTGTTTTGCACCAGTTTATTGCGAGTTCGGAGACTGGAAATATCTCAGGCATGACTGGATACATGGGAAGGTGTGTCTGAACACATATATATATCAATAATTGAAGTAAACATAAGTGCATGTGTCAAATGCCTGCCTCTCAGGCCAGTGCTTCAATATAAGCAAATGAGCAAAGTCTGGGCGCAATCTGCTCCCTCTGTACCAGCTGGGGGCCTGGTGAGTCCCAGTGTGTGAGCCCTGTAAGGCCATTTCAGTTTTGCTATAGGCTTGTTCTTGAGAACGAGAGCCTTGTTGGTTTTCAAATGTTTTCAATGTTTCGGAAGCTCGTCTCTCAGGTGAAGGTCTTAAAAACTGGGTGCTGGTTGTGGGGTGAGACCCTTGCTCCTCGGGGAGAAGCTCCAGGTTTTAAGCTCCCCAGCCCCTGATCGTAGGTTGCTGCGCCTGGGTTGAAGTTTATGGTGAGACTGCGTCCCAACCTTTCCTTTGTACTTAGATGTGGTTTTTTTCTTGTTTGCCTCATGTGTTGGAGTTGCTCAGCCAGCCTTTAGGGTTTATTGCAGAGGGAATTTTTCCTTATGTAGCTTTAGATTCGGAGTGACTGTAGGTGGAGGTGAGTTTGGGAGAACCCCAGGGCTCTGTCTTAATCACTATGGAATACACAGTGCACTTAGTATATAACTTATTGAACAAATATTTGTTATATGAGTTAAGGAACCAGTTTCCTTATAATTAATTATACCTATAGATTTTACTATGTAAGGTTGGTTATTTCTGCTATTACTAATAATTCTTAATGACTCCTCTTAAACGTTTTATCTGTGCATTTATCCTATTTTTCTCATACATTTCTAGAAGCCAAATTTAGGGGCCATTACATTACAGATATTTTTGGAGGGGGGTTTATATTGCTGAACTCTGCTGTGAAATCTTGGGCCAATTTGTAATTCCTTCAATAGCTCTAATCAAACCACTAGAAGCCAATTAACTGAAAAAAGATTTTGAAAAAGTTTTATACTTGATCTAGGACTATTTGCCATTTTACAGGCAGAAAAATCAAGACTTCAAAGAATCCTAAATGATGTGGCAAATTGATTTCTTAGCAAAATGATATTTGATTATTTGGAAACCCTCCCTTAGCAACTGCCATGTAATTATAGGTGCACTTTGGGCAAATAAATATTTTGCACCGCAAGGAATCATCCTGAAGTTAAACTTGGAATGCGAGTTACAAATACAACACTAAGCACTTATGTTAACGTATCATTACATCTCTGTCATTTTAATTGTTGCCCATGAATATTGGCTGAAAAGTTTGTTCAGCTTTTTTTCTGTAGGATAGTTCTAGTAGTGCTTAGTCGTCTTCAACTTCATTCGAAACAGTTTTGTTAGATTGTATTGTGACAGCTGTCATATCACTGTGCATTTAAAAAACTTATCAAAATTGGTGCAGCCATTTTAATATTGAAGATGGAAGAAGATACACATTTTCAGCATATTATGCTTTATTATTTCAAGAAACATAAAAACGCAACTGAAATGCAAAAAAAGATTTGAGCATTGTGTGGAGAAGGTGCTGCAACTGATCGAACGTATCAAAAGTAGTTTGTGAGGTTTCTTGGTACTGTTGACATTTTGGCCAAATGATTCTTTGCTGTGGGGCTGTCTTATGCATTGGAAGATTTTTAGCAGCACCCCTGGCCTCTACCCACCAGAAGCCAATAGTGGGAGATAGCTGACATACTCAAAATATCCAAATTAATAAAGTTATTGGCAAAAATGAAAATGTGTCTTTTGCAGGAAAAACTAAATGGACTTTTTGACCAACCCAATATATCTACCTATTCTCAGAATACTTCATTAGGCATATTAAGTAGGGGAATTGTTATTTAAATTATGGGGGGGTATGTAAGAACCTTCTTATCTAAAAAAAGAAAACCTCATAATCCCACCAAACTGAAAACAGCTAATTTCCTTCAAATGTGGAATGGATCAAGAAATTAGGAGTTATTCATATAATGAAATACCACACAGCGAATTAGACCAAGTACAAGTAACATACATGATAAGTCTCACAAACATTACATGGAAAAACAGCCAAACAGGAAGGAATACATGTTATATTATTCCATTTATAAAGTTTAAAAACAGGAAGAAGCCTACTGTAATATATCGTTTACCTTTGAAAAGGAGAAAACATTGGGAGTTAGGAAAGAGCGGGAGGCTTTTGGGTCCTAGCAACATTCTGTTTCTTGATTTTTGTAGTAGTTAGCCATATATTTGCTCTGAGATCACTTATTATAATGCTGATAAAAGTTAAAGACTAGTCTGGGTCCAGACTCACCTTTCTATCAGAGCTTAATGGCTTAAAATCCCAAATCTACCCAACAGTTTCCTAAAGCCGGGAGGTATTTAAATTACACATTTCTACTGAAAGGTGCCCCAAATACTGTGCTCCAGCTTCACTTCGGGCATGTGAATGAATGGTGTCCTGAACCAGAAAGAGCCCTGAGGTGTTTCTACTTCAATCACTGCAAATGAGCGCTGCTTACTGGATTTCTTACATCTTATTACAAAGGTGTGTGTCTGGTGAAACTGATTTGAGTTAAATACTAAGAATATTCCTTAAAAAAAAAAAAAAAAAAACCTCCGGGTGCTTGATAAGAGTAAAGGATACAATCTATAACAGGAACTTCCAGAAAGTTTCCCAAATTCACAGGCTGTAGCAGCTGTCCCTGTTCTGCAGAAATACTTCTCAGTGGTCCAGAGTGCCTAGGGTGTTTTTAGTTTGTTTGTTTCTTCATTTGCTTTGCCCAAAGGGTTATTCAGATGATTGATACCAGCAGGCTCTGTACATTAGAGTCATCCTGTGATCTTTAGAATGCAGAGGCCTCAGTGTGCAGTTGGCAGCAAACCAAGACCACGGTACGTCTAAGGGGGAACCTTAAGAAACAGCAGATCCTGGGGGCAGGAAATCACACTGTTTGTATTGCAGAGACAGGATGGTTTATTTGCTTGATAGGTGTGCTACCACTGCGATAAGCCCAACCCCTGGCAATTAAACTGAGGATGACATACGGCCATCCTGAATGATTTGTAGAATCCAAAACGCCACACAGGTTAGGGGCAGTGAAACAGCAAGTCATGCTCATGCATAGAATGCTTTTGCTATGCAGTGCCATGAAAATGAAGGAGCCAGAGAGGGGACACTCCCAGGGCTTTTCCACGTGACTCCTCTGGCTGGCCCCGTCCTTGCTGTTCCTTGATTTTGGGCCACTGGAGAGGTCCACCTCACCTCTGCTGAGGGAAGGGCTGCCCCTCCTCTACTCCCATCGCTATTGAAACTTACACTGAATTCTACTTAATGGCACTAGAACTTTACCTTATTAGAGGCCTGATTTCTTCACCATAGTCTGTAGATGATTGGGTCACCATCTGATTTTACAAGGTGAAAACACAGTATTGCCACGTTCTGCT